CAGCACTGGGCTGGTAGCCTGGTAGTGTGGGCGCGTGGTCCCGGTCACGCTGGCCCTGCACGCCAGCTGCTTCCGCCCCGCGCTCGGCTATGCAGCCGTGGGTCTCCTTTCCGATTCAAACCAATAAAGAGGCAATTTGTTACGAGCTTGGGCAGCTGGGTCAGCCCTGCCGGAGATCCAGGATTGAGATTTCACAGTGACTCCGGCTTCTTCGTGAGCGAGAAATATTCAATAAAGAGTTTCCCTGGTACAGAGCGGGCCGCATTCGCCACACATATTCGGTGTCACCTCTCCTCGGAGCGCGCAGGGCCCTGCCAAGTGGACAGCTTCGCGCCCGCAGCGCCTCCGCTCTGTGGAAGCGCTGGAACGGCGAGCTGGTTATTTTAAAAATTATTTCAAGTCAAACATTCACTTGATCACTCTGGTGTAGTTTAACTTGGAAAGCAACTTTCTGAGGGTTTGGAAGGAAAAAAAAAAAAAAAAAAGAAGAACGGCCATGGCTTAAATCAGAATGTGGATAGCATTATGAAAAACTTATGTTCCCATCTCAAAATTGACTGGAGCTACTTTAAGGGACAAATAATTCCAGAATTCTAGAGTTTCAGTGAAACGATTGTCATCAGTTGGGGTTAGGCATCATCGTTTCTCATATATGTATGTGTTATAGTTAGTTGGGCCTGGCCTCAAACTTAAGACAGTTGCCCTGCCTCAGCCTCCCAAGTGCTGGGATTGCAGGCGTGCACCACCATGCCCAGCTCTCTTGGAAATGTACTGCTCTATCAGGCAGGGCTGAAACTAGGCTGTTTGCAGATCTCAGGAAAGGAGAATGAAATGAGTTAGGGACCCATCTAAAAAAAGAAATCCCCACGTCGTTATCATGTAGGCAAAAAGGGTTCCTTTCCGTCCAGCTTTCCTCCTCCGTGCTGAATTCCCCAGGCTGCCGTTACTGAGAACAGACTACTTTCGCTCGTAATACATAAATTACCAACAGCCTCGAGACGGGGCGATGGACGCCTGGGATTTTCAACCCGAGGACTTCTGGTCTGCAGAAGGAATTTGACTGCTAAGTGAAACCAAATCCCCGTGCAGGTCAGCTGAGACTCGGCCCTCAGCACTGGCGCTGGGTGAAGACCCAAACAAGCGAACAGATGCCCGCTTGTCCAGCATGGGCAGCAGAACGGCAGAGCTGGCACTGACTGGCACACAGCACCCACTGGCAATGGTCAAAAGGGAGAGGCGAGGTCTGAGGGAAGATGGCGTCCTTGTGCACGTGGGTAGATTTCAAACTCCTGGTCCCTGACTGAGAGAGGGGAACAGCACGACCCACAGGGAAGCAGACTGCACAAGGTGTCTCTCGGCAGTCTTCCTCTCCCAGCAGGTCCAAGCAGGGTGAGAAGTGGCCGGCATTACTCAGACCAGATGCTGCAAAGCCACAGCATGGGGTCCTGCCATGGTGGGACAGAGCAGGTGGCAGGACGTGTGACCTCTGAAAGCACCCCTCGTCCCGTGTCCCCAAGGCTGCCTGACCCTGCTCCTGGAACCTGGTTCTGCACATGGCAACGGGCTGCTTTTTCAGAGGGCAGAAGCCAGTCACCGGCCCGAGCAAGCCCTCATACAGGAGGTCAGGGCTTGCAGGGAGGCTGAGGCAGGAAGATTACTCGTAGTTCCAGGCCAGCCAAGGCTACATAGTAAGTTCAAGGCCAACCTGAACTCCAGGGAGACCCCATCTCAAAACACACAAATTATCAATCATGATCCTGACACAGTTAGTAATTGCAAGATGCTAAGAGGATCTACCAGCCAATGATCATTTCATCAAGTCTTTTTTAAAAAAATGGACACACTCAAAGTCGAACACTAAATATATCTCCATTCATACAAAGTCTTCCAGACATGAAATAGTCACTCATACATGGTTAGCTTTTAATTTTCAATTTTATTTTGTAATAACCTTTCCTTCAAAAGTAAAAACCTCTCAATCTCCCAGAGTATTTATTAAACATCCTTACTTTACCCAAAATACTTCTTGCGCAGCTACCTTTGACCCCATATACATTTTGGGGGAAAGTTTGTCAAGGTTAAGATACTGTAAGCTATGGTACTACTTTATTACCAGACCAATTTTTTTCCCAAGAAGTTTAAAACTCCAACTAATGGAGGAAAACATTTTTTCACCCTATTCACTTCAAAATAGACTGCAAGGTTGGACCAGAGGATAGAACGCTTGGAAAACAAAGCAAAACCAGAAAAAGTTCTCGTGCTTCTCTGACGTCATAAAATGAGTTGCTGGCTTTCTGGACTGTTGACTGCAATCTGATAAAATGGGGTAGTAAGGACTGTAAGTGAGGTACCTCCTCCGGTCTTTCCCAGCAAGTCTTGTTTTCTTAATTAGATTCTTCTCAGCAAGGGCTTCTTAAGAAAAAGGGCCTCACCGTGCACAAAGCTGGGGATCTACCCTGCTCTGTGGGCGTCCTCCCTCCTGTCCCGGCGTCCAGCAAGGTAGTGTCCTCCAGAAGGTCTGCACGGGGCTGATGCACACAGAGAGGCCTGGAAGAGATCCCAGGAAGGAGCGATGCCTGCCGCGCCTTGTGCCTGGCTCGCAGGAAGCCGATGTGTGGTCCTGTCTCACACTCTAAGGGACAGCCCTGTCCCCTCTGTGCGGGTGCCCAATCCACATTCCGATGCTTATTTACAGGATGGAGATGTGTTCGCAACAAATGGGTTTATGCAGAGTTATACGTTTCAGAACCTGAGCAGCCCAGAGAGGGCTCTGAACTGTCCCGGGTCCCACCTCCATGGCTGCCAGCAACAGCCTTGGAGAAGAAAGCTTAGCGCCTCAGCTGTGTGGCTCACAGATGGAGGTTAGCATCTTAATGGGTTCTCCGACACGGGGCCATTTCGCTGGCACATCCTAAACAGATACCTTGATTTTTAACACCTATTTGTGTGTTGGACTGATTGGCTCTGCCTTAAAACAAGCGTTTAATGACATGCTAGTCAGTCCCGGCCCTGCCTAAGTGTCCCCTCAGATGCGCTGGCTTAAGAAGAAATGACAGAAATGTTCTTTAATAACTATGGTTTATCCATTTCTTTCAGATAGTAAGTGGCACGTTCTCACCTCATTTACAGCTTTTAATCCCAAATGGATATCGCTTTTGAAATATCCTCTTTTTTTTCTTTTCTTTTCTTTCTTTCTATTTTTTTTCTTTCCCTGAGGCTGCCACTTGAAAGTTGAAATCTAGCAAGAATGTAATGGTAGGTGCCAGCGTTCTGAATTACAGGGTGACTGCCCGGGTTGATCCTAAAAAGCAAGTGTCTTTTTTTATACCGCATAAAAGGCTGAAATGTTTACATATCAAAAGGCTATAGGCCAATTTCTGTCAAAATTACACATGAAGTTAAGCAGTACAAGCAATTTATTTAAACACTAGTCATTGTAGAAAAATTCAAAACCATATGCTCCTTTAGCAGTTTTTCACAAATGCATTTGACCCATGACTTGGCTAGACATACAAGCTTCATAATTTACTCTAAATTTCAAATCCCCTTGACGTTTAAATAAAAGATCTTCATTAATGAGGTTTACATGAATGAAAACTTTAGAAGCTGATATCGGTTAGCCAGGGTCTTCGGAACGGCAGAGCCCTCGCTCTAATTTTCAAATGACTGACTCTGCTAATCATTTCAAGAGAAAGTTTCTCTGAGAACAAATTACGGACGTTTGCATCCTGTGATTTGCAAAAGTAACAGCGTAGTCACTTTGGAACAAACTGGTAAATAACGCTGCTAAGAGCAGATTTCTGCAACCCGGAAAAACCGAAGTGCTCTCTCTGTTTCTTGTCTCTCTGTCTGTCTCTCTTTCCATTTTGAGGTCATTTTTTCCAAACACCCCCCTTTCCCCCTAGGGCTATGATGAGCATTGCTAAGACTTTAAGTTTGTCCTGAGGGGCTCTCGCGTTTTTACTTAGAATGTTGTAAAACTTCTAACAAAACGCAGCTAGTAAGTGTCCCACGTGAGGCTGGCCGCGGGGACCTAGGGCTTGGGGTTCTGTCCTTCGGTGCAGCGGAATGTGCGCCCCCGTCAGTTCCGGGACCCACTCTGCGGAGCAGAGCTACGGACGGCTTCCAAGCACTACTTATGAGACGGTCGAGAAGGGTTTTTTTTTTTTTTTTTTTTTTTTTTTTTCCCCCCTATTTGAAGCACAAACACAAACCACAAAAACCAATCTGCACGATACGAAAACTGCCCCGCGCGCTCCGGCAGTGCGCCCGCCGCGTGCGTCTGCGATTTGTACCGCACCCAGACGCGCGCCAGGTTTTTGCATGATACGAAAAATCCTACTTAAACGCGATTAGAAACTGTTCTGTGACCAAGCAAGAGACTGAAAGGATTAAGAAACGATTAGAAGTTAGAGCCGCATATGTACTTTTTTTTTTTCCTTTTTCCCCTCTGTCTCTCCCTGTCTCTGTCTCTTTTATACAGTTCTGGGGCTGGTATAAATAGTGTGGGGTCACCACTTTCTCTAAGATGAATATATCTTGGGGCAAGAGGAGACAACTCACACGCACACTTGGGTACTCTGTTTTAAATCAGAGAAGCAATTTAATCTACGCTCTTTGAGTCAATTTAGCGATGACCGAGACGCACAACGCAAACAAGCCTTCCAGAGATGTGACCGGCAAATAACACCTTCTGCATGTGGAATCCACTGATCTGTTCTTTAATATCTTAAAAATGAGGGCTATTACCGAGAGGGCGACTCCTCAACAAACACATTTTCATAGACTTCTGCGTGGTGATTGCTTTGTGTGAAATCGTGTTTGGGTGATAATAGGGAAAATCAGCGGCGTGTTTACTGCATTTCAACCTAGCTCCGCTGCCGCCGCCTCCGGACGCCGCAGGTCCTCCCATGCTGAGCGGTGCGTGCGGGCCGACAAACAATTGCTTAGCAACCTGAGGGGGACAATTTGCGTGCGTCGCATTTGTTATTCCAATTGCGCCAGGGCGAGACTGTGTAGCGCGTCTGTCCCTGGAACACTTGTGGGGGTCCGCTGCTGAAAAGGCTTAGCGGGGCGCAGAAACCTGGGCTGCTTTCCCCAGCTTCTGCGTCCCCAGAACAGCGTTTAGCCCACAGTTGGAGGTTGCAGAGGATGGGAGAGGTACCAATACACGTGGGGGGTGAGTTCCCTGGAGTGAGAAAAGTGTGTGGGGCTCCAGGTCCCCTGAACCCTTTCTGGAAAGTTCCCTCAGCAAGGAAAGAGCCAGCAGATTCCCTTTTTCTTATCTGGGACCTAGCTCTTCCACAGACCTTGCCCCAGGCTGGGGGCAGGGGTGGGGACCTCACCCTTCTTCCTCCTAAAATAAAGAACAAGAAAGGGCCCCCAGGTCCACCTGTAATCTAACTTGGCCTGCCGGTGACCGTCACTCTCACAGTATTAGGGCTGAAAGGGATCCGATGAAGGCCAGACTTGGTTCAATCTATTAAAATCTTGGAAACCCAGCCTGGTAGCCTTTGCCTGCAAATCCTAGCTCTCTGGGAGGCTGGGGCAGGAGGGCCACAAGTTAGGAGCCCAGCCTATAGACTTGGGGAAGACCCTGTGTCAAAAAATAAAAATGGGGCTGGGGATATACCTCATTGCAAAGGTCCCAAGTTCAATTGCCAAAAATAAATAAATAAAATCTTGAGGCCTTCAAATTTGCCTGATCAGTTTTCAGATCCGACACTCACAGGCATGCACAGCGTCTGTCCCTCCAGAGCCGCATGTACAGCGAGGCGGCTGCAGCAAAGAGACGCTGGCTACGGCTTTCATGGATCTGACGGTTAAGAACAATGTACCACAGGGAGGGTACACACAGCGCCGCGCGGGTGAGGATTTTTACATTTTTAAAATCTTGCAGGCCCTCTTTTGGGTCCAGGGCTGAGCACTCGGGCCAGTGTTGCTCTGAAGCACCCCTTGCAAAACTGGACAGATGGGGATGGCCCCAAACATCCCACAGCAGTTTGCCAGTTAACTTCAGACTCTGGCGAAAGTCTTACAAGATCCACTCTGAGCAGAGGGCAGCACACCCTGCCACCGTCACAAAGGCTGGCCGAGGTTCCAAGGCTTCAGTTCCCTTCCATCACTTGCCCAAGGACTGAAGCTGCGAAGGGCTGGCGGCCAGGACTGTGCCTTGCATCCCGGTGACTCCTAGGAGTCTGCAAAGGAGAAAAGTGCCTCCCTCCCTAGGTAGCAGGTCGAGAGGGGCACCCAGTTTTGCCACAGACCTGGCATCTCTGAAGGAGAGGGTTACACTCCCTTCTTGAGCAGTTTTTATTGTTTTGTGTTTTTAAGTCCAAACTGAGGCTCATCCCCATTGTGTCCTAATCGTTCCCTAACAGCCACGCGAGTTTGCATGGCTTAGAACCCAGTCTCCTAGGCTACAAATGACCGATCAGGTGGGCGTTTGGACCCAGAGGACCGAGTTAAGGCCTGCAAAAAATGCTGCTGCCCAGTTGCACCAGTGGTTCTGCGCACCCAGGCCGGAACCTGTGGCTCAAGTTCACTGTGTTCCTCTTTTCCCCAGCGCTGGGGAGGCTGCAGCACAAGCACCCCTGCTGCAGGGACTCTAGACAACTCTGCGGGCGCCCTGTGTGTGTGCGCGCGCTTATTAGCCAGAGAGAGAAGTCGGGAACACCAGGCAGGAGTGAAGGCGGCCTTCCTTGAGGAGCCCGAGGTGTCCCCCACGCCGGCCCTGCGCAGTCACTCTTCAGTCTCACTGCATGCTTCATCTGCTGGAGTGGCCAGAGCAGCCAGCGCAAAGCCAGCTGTGCCAGCTCGAGGACTTGTGCCTTGGCCAAGCACCTCGGGCGGCGGTGGGGGTGGGGAACTACTTTAGCTCGGTGTTGCCCGTCGCCTACCTTTTCTCGGGTGCGCAGCCGCCTGCACGCAGTGGTGGGTTCCCTGTCTCCTGCCGTGCTACCCCAAAGTCGCCGCAAATCACGGCGGTCACCTCTGGGGAGCACGGCCACCTTTGCCCGGGGCTCTGGGAGTCCAGCTGGGACCTGCCAGGGGGAAGGGCAACAACCCCAGTGAGGGAGCTTGACTGCCAGGGAGCAACTAGGACTGGCAGGGAGAAAAACGCCACAATCGATTGTTAGGGAAGGAGATAGAAAACCCCAAAGGCCGCCTCCAGATTGAAAACCAAAAACAGTTTGGGGGCGAACACCCACCCCGACCCGTTTCCAAAAATAATAATGAAAAAGAAGCACAAAAACCTACCGACACTCAAGGTGCTACGCTCGGTGGTGAATTCTAAAATAGTGGTTGAATTTGGTCTTCGTTGTATTAGGAACTAGGTAGGGACTGTATAGTAGTGTCCAGACCCTACGCGGCTGAAAAAAATGAAAAAGAAACAAAAAGAAAGAAAACATGTTTAAGAAACACGCGACACATCTCTTCGTTCCTTGTTTTAGCCTTTATGAATATTGGCTTTTGCAAAAACAAAAGGTTTGGGGTGGAGGTTTAAACAGTTCCATTCGGAAGAGAACTTCAACATTTAAAAAAAAAAAAACACCAGTGAAATTAGGCCGTGAGCGCACAGGCCCGGGAGAGAGCAGAATTTTGGATCCAGCTGGAGGGAGAATGTAACCACTCACGTTTTCTACAACAAAACAAATTCCTAAAGTGGGGGGAGCAATGCCAAAGTCAAATCGGCCACTATGCATCTGAGCTACAGGTAGAGGAAATCGCACCCAATAATAGGACCCAATCTGAGAAAAAACGGGGCGGAGAGGTCGGCGGTGGGAGTTGCTAATGCGGCCGCACAATGGAATTAATGAGATTAACCGGGGCAATTAGGCCGCCCGCCCAGCTCGGCCAGCCCGCGGCGGGGCGGCCGAATGGAAAAGATTAGGTTAATTTCATTAATTCTCAATCCACAATCTCTCTCCAGGCCCTGGAGCCCCCCTCTCCTTGGCACCTCTCCCCCCCCTCTAGCCTACCCCCCACCCCGCCCCCCACCCAAAGGAAAAGAAAGAGCCAAATCTGGTTCTGTTTGTCATCTGCATATTACCAGGAACTAAATCCAGGATGACGTCGACTCGGTATAAAACCAACAAGAGGTTCAGCTGGTCCGAGCTGCGTCCTCCCCGCGGGCCGAGTGCAGTGCGGCGCGGCGCGGCGCGGCGGCGAGGGGCGGGCGGAGGGCGAGCGGACGCAGGGGGCGGGGAGGGGCGCGGGCTGCGCTCGCCAGCGCGCTCTTTCGCTTTGGTCGCCGGCGGGAGGAGAGCGGGGCCCCCCCTCCACTTGGAAGCTTTTTCCTCGTCGCGTCCCCGCCGCCCCCCATCCCGGCGCGAGGCTCGGGGATGCCCGCCAGTATGTTCAGCATCGACAACATCCTGGCCGCCCGGCCGCGCTGCAAGGACTCGGTGCTGCCGGTGGCGCCCAGCGCGGCGGCCCCGGTCGTCTTCCCGGCCCTGCACGGGGACTCGCTCTACGGCGCCGGCGGCGGCAGCTCCTCGGACTACGGCGCCTTCTACCCGCGCCCCGTGGCCCCTGGCGGCGCGGGCCTCCCGGCCGCGGTCGGCGGCTCCCGCCTCGGCTACAACAACTACTTCTACGGGCAGCTGCACGTGCAGGCGGCGCCCGTGGGCCCGGCCTGCTGCGGGGCCGTGCCGCCGCTGGGCGCCCAGCAGTGCTCCTGCGTCCCGACGCCCCCAGGTAGGGCTGCGCGCGGGCCTCGGCCCCGGGCTTGGGTGGGCGCGGGCGCTAGCTGGGGTGGCCTTTAGTCACCTTGCGCGAACTTTTCTTCTCTTGCAAACGACTTACATTCCGCAGTGTGCGCTTTTTGTTTTGTTTTGTTGTGTTTTGCCAAACGGGTAGTGAGTTTGCGGTCGTCGTGCGGTGGCACTTTTAGGTAAATGTTAGCTACAACTAAGCTGCGCGGCGCCTGGGTTGCGTTTCCACCCACGCCCGGGCCCTCATTCAGAGCCTGCGTGGGGCGAGGAGTTCGGGAGCGCCCTAATCGGCTTTGCGCGTGTGCGGTGGACGCGCTTTGCATTTCTCTGCGCTCCTGATTCTCGTGCCCCCAGCCCCGGGTCCCAGCACCCTTGCAGATGATGTTTTAAGTGGGAGAGGGTCTCCTGGGGCTCGGAGGCGCGCGTCCGGCTGGGCGTACGTTGCTGAGGCTGGGCAGCTGACCGTGCGCCCCGTTCTGTCGCAGGCTACGAGGGTCCCGGCTCCGTGCTGGTGTCCCCGGTGCCGCACCAGATGCTGCCCTACATGAATGTGGGTACGCTGTCGCGCACCGAGCTGCAACTCCTCAACCAGCTGCACTGCCGGCGGAAGCGGCGGCACCGCACCATCTTCACCGACGAGCAGCTCGAAGCGCTGGAAAACCTCTTCCAGGAGACCAAGTACCCGGACGTGGGCACGCGCGAGCAGCTGGCCCGGAAGGTGCACCTCCGGGAGGAGAAAGTGGAGGTAGGCGCTGCGCGCAGCTGGGGGCGTCTGGCGCTCTTGCCCTGCAATCCGTGGATCGGAGCCCAGCCCAGTCGGCCAGGCCCTCTCTGCGCTCTAGAAACCCTCGCGGTGGCGGCCTGGAGAGCGCTTTAGGCCCAGGAAATGGAGTGTAAACGCGGAAGCGGGAGCGGGTGGCTCCTCTCTTTTGTTGGCGCGCTCCTCCCCCGGGTATCCTGGCGCTGGGAGAAGCGGCCTTTCCGATCTTTACTGTTGTTTTGTGCTCCCTCGCGCAATAGGTATGGTTTAAAAACCGCCGTGCCAAATGGAGGCGGCAGAAGCGGTCTTCCTCCGAGGAGTCAGAAAACGCGGAGAAGTGGAACAAGACTTCGTCCTCGAAGACGTCTCCCGAGAAGAGGGAAGAGGAAGGTAAAAGCGATTTGGACTCGGACAGCTGACGGCCGCGAGCTGCGGCACTTGGCTGGCTCAAGGACTTGCACAGACAGACGATGCTACTTTCTTGCACACGCGCTGCCTTGCGGGGAGGGGTCGAGAAAGAGGAACAGGAACTGTAAATAGTGTACAGAGCCGGGTCGGCACCTGGGGCACCTGGGGACGGGTGCTGGGCTCGCAGCCCAGGGCCGAGGCCTGGCTTCCCACCGTAGTATTTAAAGTTAAGTTAACGGTGACAGTACAATAAAGTGACGGCGATGTAGACGGGCCGGTTTCTGTATTTCCTACCCCAGCACCATCTGCCGAAGTTCCAGACTCAAGAAGAGAGCTGATGAGTTTTAGAGCTGGGGCGCCGGGGCGCCAGGGTGCCAGGGAGGAACTGAACAACTTTGAGCCATTAGAAAAGAAAAAGAAAAACCGCTTGAACCCCGCCGGTGGGTGGCCTGGTTTAGATCTCTAGGAAGGGCTTAACCATTGTCCCTGCATGGGGCAGACCAGGGTCTTTCTCTCCAGAGCCCTTGGCAGGTCCGGTGAGTCCTCAGACTTAGGGTGTTGGGGGCATGGGTGCAGTCAGACGCTGGGTACTGGGTGCTGACTGCCTGGAGTTTTCCTTGCTTTTCACAGCTGCCCCTCCCAGTGCAGCAACCTCCATCCCTAGGCCTGGTCCACACTGTGCAGAAGGGTAATCAGAGCTGTGACCCCAGTGCCCGCCCCCGCCCCCAGGGACATGGGATCTGGTGGGCCACTGTGTTGCCTGGGCATCTAGGGCAGAGGCTGAGCGAGGCCTCCCCCAGCGCTGGGTCATCCTTGTCTAAGAGCTGTCGCACCAGGGAAGCCAACCAAGGTGGAGGTGGCAGAATCATTCCCGATGCTCACAGGATCAGCTAGCTTCCTGCTGCACCAGCTCTCCAGGAACTCTCCCAAGCCTGTGTCTCTGAAAGGCCAGGACGGCCTGAGCCCCTGCACCAGTGAAGATATAGAGGAGGCCATTCAGTGGTGTCAGGGACGCCAAAGCCTAATAGGTTGGATGCTTTCTCTGTGCTCTGAGCCCATTTATCCAAGAGGAAGTGCCTGCTGGTGAGTCTGCCTGGTGCTTACCAAGGAACTTGGACTCCCAGGCAGGTGAAGTGACACACAGAAAGTGTGGCGTGACTCCCAGACCTGCCTTTTGCATAAGGAAGTGTCCCTACTACGAAAGGGCAGGTTTAGAAGGGTTCAGAGGGGAGACCTCAAAAGGCAGGGTGACCTTTGCTCCCAGCCACTCATATCTGCTGTGACCCTTGCTTTCCACAACTGTGAACTGAGCCTGGTGATGGAATCTGCCTCCCGGGAGTGTGGCTTCTTTGTTTTCTTCAAAAGTCATGAGCCAGTACTTGATCCATGATGTACTCAATCTAAACTCCAAAATGGGGAACACAGTCAACAATTTACAGATGAGGAAATTAAAGGTTCGGAAACATTAAATACTTTAGCAATACATAGCCCATAAGAAATAAAGAGGGACCGGGGTTTAGCTCAGTGGCACAAGCACCTGCCTGGCAAGCATAAGGTCGTGAGTTCGATACCAACAAAAGAGGGGGGGCAGTGGTCTTGGTCCAGGGAATCTTGTACTGTAATTGGGAATGTTTGCACCGATAGCATTTCCTCTGAAAACCAATTGCAGGTGAATCAATAGCTGCCCTTCTTAGACACCTGACTTGCAGGTGAGGCAGGGGCAGGCAACACCACTGCTTACTGGCTGGTGTCCTGTGTCCCATAGAGCCCACAGCCACCCATAGTGTTCTGGTACAAGACAGTGTGGCCTCATCTGCCCCAAGAGACCTCTGTTGTACCTATTTCTATACTCCCGTGTGTGTGTGTGTGTGTGTGTGTGTGTGTGTGTGTGTGTGTGTTTCCTTGGGGGTGTTTTGCTCCTTTGTAGATGCACTACAAAGGAAACTCTCCTTGTAAAGAAAATCTGAACTGGGCCTGGTGGTGCAGGCCTGTAACCCAGCCTTCCAGGAAGCTGAGGCAGAAGGATCTCAAGTGCAGGCCCAGCTTGGGCAATTTGGAGACAATGAGACCCTCTGTCTTGAAATTAAAAGTAGATTGGGGATGTGACTCAGTGCGAAGGGTTCAATCCCTAGTACTAAGAAAGTAAAAATAGTAACCTGCATGTATCTGGTGTGGGAAGGTGTCTTGGGCAAGATAGGGAGAGGGAAGGCAAGTGGCTGTTGAGCAGCTGGAGGAAAGCTGGGGTGAGTAGGGGAAGGGGGGTGAGAGCCCTAGAGCTGCTCCTGGCTTGCCCAGTGTAGCACAGCACCAGCCGGCAGGAGATCGGTCACTTGGTGTTCATGTCCCCATGAACGGAGTCCCCTCCATGGTGCTCCTGGAAGGGCCTGGCTTGCGGGAAATAAGCGTAATGTCTGGAGCGAAAAGAGAAATGTCAGCACGCTTGTCTAATTATAGTCCTCCCACTCGCCATAGTCCTCCACTCGCCCGCTTTCTGCACGTCCCCAGCAGCTGTGGGGCACAAACCTCTGTCTTAGCCCTGCTCTGGGTGTTTCTCAGGGCTTGGTGGGGTCATGCAGCAGAGGTCCTGGGCCTTGTAATTTTCTCCAGTAGGAATTCGGCTCATGCCCTTGGAAAGTGCTTCGTAGATGTGGGCAAGGTGTAAACCTGGTGACTCGCCCCCCCACTTCCGGTTTGTGTAGCAGCCCCTGTCCTGAAGGTCTTGTACCCATTTCATAGTTAAGGAAACAGACACGAAGGGTCAGTATGGAGACTGTGATCTGTGGGGCACAGGGCCCTTCTGCCTCCGAGAACCTTCATGTTTCTTTGAGTGATGGCAGAATCCTGCACACAGGGTTATCACCAGCAACTGACTGCTTAGAGCTGGATATAGCTGTCCCCAGGGAACATGAGAATTAATCTGCTACAAAATACAGACTCTGGCCGGGTGTGTAGCTCCGTGGCACAGGTTGCACAGGTCCTGAGTTCGATTCCCAGTACCAAAAAAAAAAAAAAAAAATGCAGGCTGTAGGAAGATAACAAGTGACAGGTCAGGTGTAGACCCTCCCAGACCTCAGCAGGCTCCCCACTGAGCTTGAGGGTTGGGGTGATGGCTTCCAGGTGGCCATTGTCACCTGGGCCCAGGAGGGCCTTGTGGAGGTGGCTGAAAATATAAGCAAGGAATGGTGCAGAGAGAGAAGGAGGCTCCTGTGGCTCTCTCCGGGAGGGCGTCTCACAGTTCTTAGCAGCTGGTGGGCATGGGCTGGGGGAGAGATTT